TTTAATAGATTCCTTTCAATTAATGTTTTCCTTCTTTTTAGTAGCAACCAACACAAGGGATGCTACACAAGTACGCAGTACAGTCTAAACTGACCTAGCCTTTGAGTTGTGACAGCAAGTATGAGAACAAAGGATACTGCATTCTCCAAGTGGAATTGGTCCTGGGTTTGGGATAGAGTTGCAAGAACTTGAACAACTAGGAATGGCTTTAAAAATTTACCTGATTATACTCAGATGTGGAAGGACCCCCAGTGGTATGGTGAGTTAGGTGATGGGCTGCTAACTGCAAAGTTGGCAGTTCAAACCCAGTAGCCACTCAAGATGATGCTGTCTGCTTCTATGAAGATTTACAGTCTCGGAAACCCTCTATAGGGTTGTGATGAGTTGGAATCGACTGGTTGGCAATGGGTTTTGGTATTCAGATGTAGGAGTCCTTGGTGATGCAATGGTTATGTACTCCACTACTAGCTGACAGATACCTAAGAAGACAGGCATGACAATCTGCTTCTGAAAGGTCACAGCTTTGCTCTTCACAAGTGGGGTCACCGTGCGTCAGAACTGACTGAACAGCTTCCAATCACAATGGCATTCTGATAGAAGAGGTAACAGGATATTGGTACAAGATCACAATAACCAAGTGTCAGATCTTTCCTACCTGAAACAGTTGTTCAGCAAAGACTGCAGTGCAAATTCAGAGAATCCATGACACCCACAAAGGTTTAGCCGCACTAAGTTCGAGTTCTGCCCAAGATAGCTGAGGAAAGAAAACAATGCCAAAGCAATACCAGTAAGTTATTCTTGTCTGCTTCACAAGCATCCTGGGGAAGGACAACAGTGAAGATGTAAAGCGTGCAGGCCTTGAGTCAGAAGTATGAGCGCTTAGCCTCAAATGTCCTTCTCTGTGAAATGGCACTATTAGGACCTTCTTGGCCTGGTTTTAAAAAGATTTAACGATATAATGTAATGAAGAGCTTAGCGCAGCACTGAGTACATGCACCAGAAACACAAGTCAGTGCCTGTTTTAAAATGTAAGCAGGGATAAAAAGAAAATGGAATGAACTTATTTCCATTTCTCTCATAATTGGAGCTGGATTTTAGGAAAATGTCGACTTACAAAGTCACCGGGTCCTTTCCAGTTGTTGTTATTGTTAAGTACTGTCGAGTCGGTTCCAACCCATAGTGACCCTGTATAGGGTTTCTGAGGAGCAATTGGTGAGCTTGAATACCCTCTCCTTAAAATTCTCACTCGAGTGATATATTAAGAATAAGAACTCTGGAGATTCATCCTATATTGCCAGGTTCAAATCTTAGTTCTGACACTTGTTAACGGTAACCCTGGACTTGCTTAGCCTCTCTGTGCCTTAGTTTCCACATCTGCAGATAAAGTTACAGTAAGAATGTATGAGGGTGTGAGGGGAGGAAGGGGAAGGTGGAGCACAGGGTAGGGAATAGACACAGGATAGTTTGGGTGCTGGGAGGGGGGCAATACACAAAAAGGGGGAGGAAAATGGAAGAACAAGGCAGATGGGAAAACAATTAGGCAGGTTTGCATGGACTAAGTGGGACAGAGGTAAATAATGATGTATGCACAACCTTGGAACAACAGGGCTCTGGGATACAGGGATT